AATTTACACTAAAATCATTTGTATTATCATAGTTTTGCATCAGTGCAAATTTATTTGCATTGTAAGCAAACACAGCCTAAGCTTTTTTCACCCAATAATTGTGGCTCATTATGGCTCATTATATAACAAGAAATTAGATGTGGGTTCTAGACTTGATCCACCCCACGCTTAAATTCAATGAGGGATAGGGTCAAATAGGGTTTTGATTTTAAAAATCGACTCCACTACAAGTTTTAGAGGGGCATAAGGGAGGGTTTAGGGGTACAAGACGGGCAGTTGGGCCAGGTTTTAGCTCAACTTAGGCCCTACCCTAAGAATTGGGCCTAAAACCCAAGCTTGGCATGAGCCCAAGGTCAAGCCCGAACTATTCAGTCCAAGCCCAACCTACACTAAAATTTGATGCACTCTGGATGGGCAAGCCCACACTAAAAATTGATATACATGTGTATATATGTATGCATGTATATATATACAAGTAAAGTTTATTAAAAAAATATGTATATATACGTATGCATGCAAATATGTGTATACATATGCACATATACATGCATATAATTAGATTAGGGTTGGGTTAGGATAAGCTTAAGCTGGCCTAATTTAAAAGGCCAAACTTTTAGGCCCAAGCCCGGCTCAATGATCGAAAATTTAAGCCTAACCCATTTAAAATTACAAGCTTAGCCAACTCGGGCCCAAGTTGGGCCCACCAAGTTGCACCCCTATAAACCATCTCAACCACATTTTCCGGAGTTTACATTTGCGCCTCACAATGCCGAACAACACATCCCCACCTTGTATTGGGAACATCTCCCAGTGATGTCTCATCATCTCCCGTACTGTTATCGGGAGATGTTCCCAATACAAGGTAGAGATGTGTTGTGGGGCATTGTAGGGGCGCCCCTTTGTGGGGCCCAGATGTGAACTCCATTTTCCATGCTTGAGACAATATCCTCTAAGGCTCCATTTGGGTGTTCATAAACATGGTGCACTCAAGTGCGGGCCCACCAAATTGCACCCCTATAAGTGTTGGGAGGTTTGGAAAGGAGGGTCAAGAATTTACAAAACCATCCTCAAACATGTCCCATCGCCATCCCTATTTTAGTTAAATAAATCTCAATCACATTTCCATGCTTGAGTCAATATCCTCTAAGGCTCCTCCATTTGGGTGTCATAAACATGGTGCACTAAGTGTGGTGTGGTTGATCAACGTGGATGAATTGGTATTGTTTGAGAGTGTATTTGTTGTGACCCCAGTTACATTCTCTATTAAGCTTCATTTGGTTTGTGGGATGGGAATGGAAAATATGGAATATTTTAGAGAATTCCTCCCTTTCCATCTTTGCTTTGTGGGATGTCATGAGATGGGACGGGAAAAATGTGGGATTATAGATCTCAATTATTAGGATGTGGAGTCCTACAATTTTGGTGGGAAATAAGTAGGAATGTAAGGAAAAACCTTATTTAACCTAAAAAAAACATCTTCCTTGTAGTATTTCTAAGAATTAATATATATCAATGACCCATAAATAAATTAGTAATTATTTAATAACATATTAATAAAATAATTTAATTAAAATAAGTAATAAATAATTAATAAAAATATTAAAAAAATATTTTTTATTATTTTTTCATAACAAAATATTAAAATTATTAACTAAGCCATAAGTATTAATAAAATAAAAATATAAGATAATAAAACTTAAAATATTGATTAATTAACTGATTAATATCAAAATAATATTTAACAATAAAATATTGCAAAAATATTATTAATTAATAACTAACAATAAAATATTTACTAATTAATAATTATTTTTAACAATTTAATTAAAATAAATTAAAGAAATAATTTAATAATTTATGAATAATTAATATTAAAATAGTAAAATTATTAATTAAGTCGCGGGTATTAGTAAAATATAGTAATAATAATAACTTATAAACTAATAAAATGTAAAATATTAATACTTAAATAATAAAATAACTAACTATGTATTTTAAATAATTAATATCTAATTGATAATAAAATACTAAATAATAAAAATGTTAAATTCTGAAAAATAATTAATAATAAAAATAAAATTATTAATCGATTCATAGTAAACATTAATAAAATAAATTTAAAAATATTAGTTCTTACTTAATAATTAACTAGATAATTATCAATATTAACTAATTATAAAATTATTTCATTAAAAGTGAACTCTAATAAAATATCAACACATCAGCATTTGAAAGAAAAAAAAATAAAGCATCGCATCATCTGATTTTTTTTTCCCTTTTATGTTTGCATTTCGGTGGGGTCACATGCATAGACCACGGTCACAGCATATTTTTTCCTAGTATTATTTTGTACCTAGTATTAGTTAATATTGTGAGGGTGAGGGACAAAAGATATTTATATTTTGTTGATATTGACATATTTTAACTATTTCATGGTCTGAAAATTCCTACACCCTTACTAAGTTCAATTCTTATGCTGTATTTTATAATACTTCACTACATTTGCACTGTCATACGGAATGGAAAAGACATGATATGCGAAAAAATTATTGCCAATCAACCAGCACCATAAAAGAGGGGGATGCATTGAATGGTGAAATCTCTCTCTTTTCGTATCATAGATTTTTTCATGGTTTTCAAAATTGGATTGGACCGGATGGTTGGATTAAAAAATCGGGAATTGGCCAGGTGATTGGTTTCATTTTCCCYCAAAATCGGATTTTCTCTCAAAATCGTTGATTTTGATCAGCAAACTACTAAACTGGGTGGTTAATCGTTCGAACCGTTCAAATAGTTTTGACCATCTTTTATTTTTTAAATTTTWTTTATTTTTTTTTTGTTAAAACAGGTCAAGTGTTTGGTTCGAACAATCAGACCATTCAACCCGGTAACCAAACCCCTGATCAGTTCAATCTTCGAATCAATTTTAAAAACCATGGATTTTTCTTACACAAATTGGTTTGGAAAAGAATGAAACAAGAGAAGAGAAAATAATCTTTTTTTTTTCCAATTTTTCTTTCTGTATTAGTTTATTGATAATAAATAGGGCTTTTTATTGTTGGATCCAAGTAGTATTTATCAAAATTCACTTGGGGTTATTGGTCAAAACTCTCTGGGTATCATATCTTTTCTAGCAACATAGTTTTTTTTTTTCTTCCATTGAATAATGTATCGGAGGAGTTTTTACAAATCAAAAATCAAAACCCTTTCTGTCATGTGAATTTTGATAAATAACAGTTGATTGGTTACCACTTTTATGATATCTGCTTGGTTGTTTATTAGTTTTTCTGGTATATGTATTTCCAATATTAGAGTCAAATCCTTTAAAAGTAGACCCAAAGGTTTAAGCAGTTCTCTCCAAGTGGGCAGGTCAAATGAGTTAATTTATAATATTGAAATAACAAAACTAAAATAAAAAATGTAAAACCTAATAGCCTAATAAATAATTTATTTGAACAGGTCATTGACGAAAATAACACTTTTTAACCCACCCAACCACTTCATTAAAACCGGCCCTGATTTTAGCTCTGTCTCTATCTTTTGCCATCACGTAAGGCTCAGTTTGGAAGGAGTGTAAATACAAATATGTATTGTATACATTTGTATTATTTTCTTTCCAAACTGAGCCTAATGAACTAAAATASATAAAGAAAAGGACAAAAACAGGATCCCGGAATGTGGCTTGTTCAAGATTAAAAGTGAGATTGGTTTCTAGCTTCTAGGCAACAGCTAGGCAAATAAAAAATAGTCTAAAATGGACATAATTTCCTTTGCAACAAGAACAGGATGTTTTCTATACTAGCCTGCAGGAGGAGATAATAGGCAAAATGAATGCCGGAAATTAAAGAAAGGGAAAATGATTTAAACCCCCCCTATGGACATTAATGATTTTTATTACTGTTTATAAACTGCCATTTTTTAAAACACTCGTATAGTCTACGGGTCTATATAAATTGACCTTTATATGTTAAACCCGTAAAATTATACAGGTCATTAAATTCAACTTGAAACCTTTATTACTTTAATTTAACCATTATCATTACTATTAATTTATGTTAGTATTTAATTTAAATTTTTTGTTATTTAGTAATAATATTAACTAAATTTGTAATTATTTAAACATTTACTTAAAATATTTTTTCCAACAGAGTATAATTATTATATAATAGATTTGTTAATTCATATTTTTCATTTAAGAATAAACATTAATGATTTGGCTTAACAATTTTAATGACTATTAATAAATATTGATTCTTATTTAAGGTTTAATTAATGTATTTGGTAATTATTATGGGGCATGCTTTGAATAAACATTAATGATAACTGATAATTGTTATTTCGTTTTTTATTATTTACTTAAATAAGTACTTGATGGTTGTTATTATTATTAATTATTTCTATAAATAATTGATTGTTATTATTATTTACTTAATTCAGTAATTTTGAGTAAATTTTTCCTCAGAATAATTAATGATTTAGGTGGTGTTCGATAAATCTGAAGTCTAAAGTTTGAAAAGTAAAAAAACCTTTGAAAGCATTTAGTGGAAATTTTGTTTTTCTACTTTTGCAAACATCTAAATATAGTGGAGTTGTTCGGTTATCTGAATGTTATGCTATCTGAAAAATGTGCATTTTATGATTTTACCCCTAAAATTTTCATTTAAATAACAATAGTGAAAATTATTAAAATATTATGATATCATAAAATAATAAAAAATAAATATTAAGAAACAATAAAATTAATACATCAATAAATAAGATTAAAAAATAATAAAGAGTAATATTATAAAATAATATTCATTAAACAAATATTATAGTGTTTAATATTTAGTGAAGCTAGCGCATTATTTTACCTATTTTTTGGGTCTCAAGTTGATCGTATGGGAGAAAGACCACTGTACAGTCTTTTACATTGATTTAAAACAAACGTGAAGAGAAAAAAATCGAGTTAGAATTGAGAACCTACTTTGCATCCACGATAAAGAAAAACCTTCTAAGGCCGGCAGTCATTAAGACTGACGCCATAGAGAGGACTAAGGTAGCGGTTTTAAAGAAACCGCCACTTAGAAAACCAAAACAAGATAAAAAATAAACAGGTGACGGTCTTTGTATCCGGTTTATCAGTTTGAACTGGAGTTGAGCCAGTCTATACCCCTTTGTATTCGAATTAGACATTGACATCAAGCAAAATGCCAAAAACATTTGGAAAAGATGAACTCTTCCCGCGTTTGTTATACTCCTTCGTGCATGTTTGACAAGACTGAAGTTTTTTGGGAGAGGAATTCAAGAGATGAGAGCCAAAACCTCTTTACAAGGAATCCAAGAGATTGTTAAGTCAAAAGTGTTTTGCCAAAGAAGGGAACAAGACCTCTGCTACTTCCCGCATTCGTGAAAGCTTCAAACTATCGTTTTTCATTTGAGAACGAATGAGAAATTGACAACATACTAGCATCACTCGCTTGAGAAGGTTTCATTTTTGTGTGAATCAACTGATTAAGAGAGGAGAAGATTTGTTTCCTTCGATTGAGAAAACTCCAGCATCATCCTTACATTTGTTCATTGTTCGACCAAGAGAAGGTAATGCTCTAACCCTCTTAATTGTTTTTCATTATGTACAGTGGGTACTAGGGTTTTTTCCCAATCCTCCCTCTTTTTGGGGTTTTATGTTTGCCTTGAAGTTATTATTTGTGTTTCTGAGCTTGTTTTGTCTAGGTGTATTAGGGTTTTTGTCTGATTAGTTGGAATAGTCGAGGATGTGGCAAACTCAAACTCAAGTCATTTCTCATGGTCTGAATCGAGTCAAGAATTAAAATACCCTAACATTTTGACTTTCCCTCTAGAAGGCTTAGTTGAATTCTTGTTTTTTGGAAGCATGGTTTTGACGTGATAGCATGTGCTTTCTCAGAAAATTATATTCGTTTATGTAAAATTTTGATCCCTTAATTACCATTTGTTTTTGTTTTATTTACGATGAACCATATAAATCAAAAAGAGAAATTTCTTTTGTTGGATGTCAATAACTAGATTATGTCTATAAATCTGATTTTAATGTTTCTGCTCACTAATTTTAGTATTTAAAATGTGCCTTGAATTTTCAAGGATAAAATCTTGATGGCTCTTATTGAACCTCCAAGAAGGAACATGCTAACATGAGTGATGAAGGTTTTTTGGCAGTACCCTGTTGTTCGGACTACTTCTAGGTGGCCGATGACTCAGACGCCGAAGTGGAGGATTTTTGCTGGATGAGGACTTGGATGCCGAGTTGACTAGGCCGAGCTGGGGGTAGATTGGGTGTCAAGCTGTGTTGATTGCTGAGTTAGGTAGCTCTTCAGAGAAACCTGCAAGGAATCAATGTTAGAGGACCCGGGGTGGCTAACCCAACAAGGTCACTCCAATGATTAAGTTAGTATTCATAGTAGATCGCGAGCTAAAAAATCATAAAGTATGAGAGGTAGAATGTGCTTACTCGCCTCTCTCTTGTGTCATTGGGGTTGGTGCCTTTGTATAGGCATTGTTTAGTTTGGGGCCTCACGCACTACATCCGAGATTTCCAAGAGGTCGTGTCTAACTGGTCCGAGATCCTCAGAGGTAACTGCCATGCACGTTGACCATCCTTTAGAACATTCGGTACGTGGGCCAGTTTTCGAGAAACTTGGGAGCGTCGGGATATGCATGCCAAATTTGTCGGCGAGCACATCTCGCAGGTCACTGCCTGGTCCCCAATCAGGTCGGTAAGCCCTCAAGGGAGGTCGCTCCTTGTGTCAAGGTCACTTCGGCCAGTGACGAGGTGCTACAGGCTGACCCTGGACGAGGTGCTACAAGCCGACCTAAGTTGTGGTCGAGGTCGCTAGGTCGGCGTAAAGGAATGTCGCCAGGTCGGCGGTGAAGGCAGGTTGCCAAGTCGGCGGTAAAGGCATGTCACCAGGTCGGGGTAAAGACGAGCCACAATCTGGGACTCCAAATCATCACTTAGGTGGTGTCTAAGTGTCATCTAGCTATTCTAAGATGCCATGTGTCACAATGTCATTGGAGGGTCAAATCCGCCCTCATCAATGAGGATCAACGATATGGTGGATTTCAAATTATTCTTATGGAGAGCTATTTGTAATTTTATGGGTGTTAAGTCTATTTTTAGTGGAAGGGGTTTGTGTTAGAGTTACAATGTTTATTTTGTGATAATTATGGAAATCTCTTGTTCATATATTTTTTGATTGTCATTTTCCCAAGATTGGTTTGGTTTCCCTTGGAATATTAGGATATAAAATATAGGGAGTGACATGTTTTGGAAAGTTGCAGATTCGTCAAGTAAATCATATTTTCTCTCAAACTTGGAACAAGTTGAATTTATTATTGGGCTCCTGTGGTTTCTTATAATTCTAGGGTGTGCAACCACCAAAGCTGAATTGGCTCTAATCTATGGAAAAAATTATAGGAAAAAAGAGAAGTGTAAATATCTGTGTACATAGATACTCGTATTTTATCCGAAATGTTTTTTTGTTGGCAATTGTGTAAACAACCAAAGCTTCCCATGTTTCGAAAAGTTTGTACAAGGGAATGGTTAACGGCAAAATTTTTTAATTGTTTATACCAGATGTCTATACTTGAAGACTATGTCCATATATTTTTCTATGGAAACAAGACAAAGTCTACTAGTTGAACAATTTCACTGTTGATCTTGTGAATACAATTAAGAGAAAATATGTCCCCTGTACAAGTAAATTAGTGATTTAAGGAGAAACTTTTTACTAGAGGCTTATCCATATTGTATAACATGTTTTCCCAAAAATCTTAGAGATAGAGCTCTCCACAAATCAGAATTTATCAAATCTCTTTTGAGTTGTAGGCATGGATGATGATGATGATGAAGTGTGGATGTAGGCACAAACAACAAACAACTGTTGGTTCTCTATTTGGAAGAATGAGCCTACTCAAATTTAGTATTTATCGAATCAGCTAGAGACAAACAGATTTTGTATCATCAAAATAGACTTCTCTGTGTCTCAAGCAATGCTTTAATTAGATATGGCAAATACATATATTACCTGCATAATGTATGTATTATTTGAATCTTTGACAACAAAGATTTCAAATAATGGAGTCCCAGGAGTTGTGGTGACCAACTGACTGAAACAAACAAATGTTACTGAGTATGGAGTTTTCTAGCAATGTATATTTTACTTTCCAGAGAAGCTTTATCACCTATATATTCATGTTAGCCCATGCTTCTTTGTCTTGGTTTTCTTCTCATGCCATAATGTGATGAGTTTGAAACATAAACTTGGAACTACACTTCATTCTTTTTCTTAATCATTGTTGGTAATTTGTAGGTTTTCTTGCGCCAAATTTTAAGATACAAGAGTTAACTGGCTATTGCAAATACCTTTTAAGTTAGAGTGAACCCATTAGAAAAAGCATACCAGTTTCACCTTGGTATTATTAGGTTCTCCTCTCAAATGTTATTTCCTAACCCAACATCTAGCATTGAATTTCCATGTTATTTTTTTTTCTTTGTCAGAAATGAAGAGCTGGAAACTGCACTCATGGAGATGGTCAAGCAGGATAACCTTCGGCAATTGAATGCAAGGGTACATCTGAATCACAATAGACTATATGCTTGTTATGCCAGTTGTCATGTTAAATATGAAAGAAACATATGCTTTTGTAGGACTGTTCACAGTTTGGTTCTAGTCAGTCTCGCTCAATTTTGCCAAGTGAGGTTTTGTGTTGTCTTTTAAGCCAACTGAAACCAACCAACAAAAGAAAGAACCAAATTTGAAATTGAGTGTTGATTGACAATCAGCTTAATTGGTTTGGGTTCCTTTGCATTTGTTTTGAATTTGGCCCAATGCTTTGGGTTGGACTTCACATTTTTCTAGGTTTTAAATTTAACCAATCAAGGTTTATATATGTATCAATGAACAACCTATCTAACATTGGTTGGGTTCAAGTTTTATTGCCTTTATTTGCTTGGTAGTTGGTATGAAGTTTACAAATGCAATAAAAAAATAGAAAATTACACCACCAATTTTTCTTTGGGATATAGATAGATTATAATGGGAAAACCAAATTCATGTAGTTGATCCAATATGGTTGGGTATGTCTTGTTGAGTTGAGCTGTTGATAAAAAACCGTGTAAAGTGTTTTTGTTGTATTTATTTATTTATTTGGTGGGGGGAGCATATCTGTTAAAAAGGAAATCATTCAGAAACATTTTAGAGTAGGGAGTGAAGGAGGTATGTGGGTGGGAGAAGAATGCCATATCCACAAGGAGAGGCTAGGCTATCCCTTTCATGTGGATGTCTGGTTCTTGAAAGGTAGTTGAATTGTTTGGTTGAAGGTTTCATATCTATTTGTGAAAACTTTTTGAGCAAATGTTTTTATAATGTGGATGTGTGATGTGAGGCACCAATTCTACTATCCTAAGGCATGAGTCATAACTAGAACACAAGAGGTGTAAGCCTCCTGATAAAAAAATAAAAATACAATAAATATCTCATAAAACATGAAACTTTATGAGAAATTAGAAATTTTCATATTTACAATTTCTAATAATAAAATCATCACAATTAAATTTAGAAATTAAGTATCATAATCATAATTATACAAGTTCATTAAACATTAATATATCACTTGCAAAAAGTGCGGCCATTTTGTGTGAATAGAAATGCCAAAGTAGAAATGTCCATAGCCAATCGACCGCTCCCAAGACCCCAAATAGTTGGAATCAACACTTGGTAATGCCCTTCTCTAATAGATTTTTTGTCAACTTTTCTTCTGTATATCTTCTACTAAGAACTTAAATTTCACTATTTAGTTCATGTTTCTTTTGTGTTATATGTGTGGAAGGGGATAGTTTTCTCTACTTTGCAAACCTATGTCAAAATTTTCTTCTTTCATACAGGTAGAACAGTTGGAACAAGAGGTAGCAGAGCTATGATAGGCCCTATCAGATAAACAGTAACAAGAGTGTATGCTTCAGGTTTCATTTCTTCTGAGTTTTATCTTTCATCTATTTGGTGAAGATGGTTGTGACAGTCGTGTGAAGCCACTAGTGCAAGATGTGATAGTCCATGAGGTTGCATTTGTTTATATGTACTCTACATTAATAACCTTTTTTGGTTTAAGGATCACTACAAGAAAAACGGTCTAAGCCGGCAGTCCTAGGTCAAGACCGCCGCCTTAGACATAAGGCTGCGATTCAACGTTCACCACCTCGTCCACCATTGTCTTAAGGTAAGACCGCCGGCTTAGTTAGACAAGACTGCCACCACCTTTGGTGGCCGGTCTGAAGCGGTTCGAACATCACTGAGTCAGTGGTTTGTCAGAACCACTAGCTCAGACCTATTAAAGGCGGCAATTTGAACCGCCATCTTAGATCCTACCTAATTGCCGCCCTAGTTTTTGCCTACTATCGCTTACTTTCCCGGCGATGGTCTGAACCACCGACTTAGATCCCATCTGACCACCACCTTAGACTTTGTTTATGGATAAACCGATGATTACAGGACTGTTGGGGTAGTTTTTTTTATTTATCATGTTTATTTTAATATTTCTTTGCACCTGCACTTTTATTGAATCATCACTCTAATACTTGCTTAATACAAATTCCATGACAATTAATACATGTAAACTTAAATAAAACATACAATTTAAAAAATCTATTAATTTGAAGATTAATTATGATAATTTCCAAAAAGAATTATTCAAATGCAATATCCAATTGCATATAAAATGTACAAGGACTTAAAAATTTCAACTTCTCCAATAATGTAGGACTTTCTTCCAATGCAAATCCCTTAGCATAATGGTTGAACTTGCAAATCATAACATATAAATTGTTAGAGAATGTAAAGTAAATGAAATATTGATACAAAAAATGTATAAAAATACAACATTGAAGGAGGTGGTCATGATTAAAAATTGATTAAAGCAACTAGAAAGACAACATGGTGGTGGCTCAACTATGTATTAACATTGTGATGAAAAGTGATTAAGAAAAGACATGGTAAAGAGTAATACTTACTCATTTTTGGGAAGATTTCTTGTTCTTCCTCCATATTTAATAGGGCACAGTGTAGGATTATGCCGATTTGATAAAAGACTTTCCTTCAGGGATCGAGATGCTCATATGAAACATGTTCCTGATGTAATAAAGGAACTTGGTTGATATTTATAAATGAAAATAGGGTTGAGGAAGAAAATGCATTGGATTAACATGTTCCTACTACAATATGTGGAAATTATGTTTCTGAGAAATAATCCTACCTGTCAAAAGCCATCCAATTGGAAAAGTTACAAGATAAATACTACCTCCCTTGACAACTTTAACTAACAATAAATCAAAATATATATGCATAGGTTGATCTCCTGAATGGTTATTAAAGAAAATCCAAGGGTAACATTTTGCAATAGAACACAACCAGCAGGGGGGGGGGCACGACCTAGAAGACTGCCAATTGGTAGGTTATCTATGTATAACCAATCAAAGTATGACATACTTTTATAAAAATAAAATAAAACATGTGATTTATAGAAACATTTTCAAGGAAAAAAGTTATTCCTTGAATTTCACCAATTTCTAACGACAAGCATGTTTCTTTTTATCTTTTCTCCCTAAAATACATGAAATTAGATATAACCTATCAAACATACTAAAATTTGTAAAAACAAAATATTGTTTCATTCAATCAATAAGTACCCAAAGGCAGAGTTCCCACAGAGCTGTTGTAAATAAAGGTATTGTTGATGCATCCTACAATACCTTTCTTCCTCCAATTGCCTCCATGTGATATGGGACTGATTTAATAGTTGTGGCTGCATGTAATGAAGAGGAGATTGTGCATCCAATAAGTACTGATGTTGAAAAGGTGTAACTGGATCTCTACATTTTTGCACATTATTCCAATCTATATAAAAATCTAAAATTGCAGAGGGATCAATTCCTTTTTGAACCCACATTTAGGTACTCCATAGATGTAACAAAATTATACAAAAAATAACTTATGCATGCAATAGAATAATGGTATGTATTTGTAGAGATTCTTGGAGCAAGAAAAGAACATAATTTTTTATAAAATCATATTCATCCAAATAGTTATGTTTCCAAGTAGTATAGTGTCATTTCAAATCCTTAAGTAAGTTTTATAAGTCTTACCTAAAACTGAAAACCTATCACTCTTCCATATATTATAATTATGTGCTCCAATTAAAACTTGTGACAAAGGCAAAGAGAAATTTTCAACATTGTGGCAATATCTCCTTGAAATCCAAAATAAAGAGTTTAGTGGTGAAATTACCCCAGATTTGATGGAAGCTTGAAACCACCTATTTGTACCCGTTAAAGAGAATAGAGCTGAAAGATTAAGAAAAGGAATAACGTAGTATGAAAAATGCAGTTTTGAATGTGGGAAAAGAAAAGGTGGTGGACGATAAATGATATCAGCATTGCAAATTTGCCTTTCATACCATTTGTACATGTTTAAGATGGAGCTGAAAGATTAAGCATCCAATGTTCAAATCTGCCTTTCATACCATTTGAACATTGGATGCTTAATCTTAAAGGGAATTCTGCATAGCACCCTGCTATGTTAATGCAGGACACACCCAAATAGAAGCTAATTAGGTGGCTAACACAGGCCCTAAGCAAGCTAGAAATAGGCCCACAAAGCCCTTAGCTTGCTAGTTGAAACTTAGCCTTAATTTGCCGAACAAATTAGGCTGGACACAACTACAGGGATTCATTAATCACTAGACAAATGAAAGAAAATTGAAAATTTGATGAAAATGACCTTAATAGAGCTTACCAAAAAAAACAGGAAAGAAAAAAGAGCTGGTGAGGATGTAGAGAGGATTTCATAAATTAAGTAATAGAAGAAAATGTAGAGGGAAAGAAAGAAAAATGTTGGGAAGTAAGAGGGATGAAGAAATTCAGGAGATAATGAAAAAAATACAAGAACATAAGAACAATAAAAAAACAAACCCAAAATATTAAGATAGAGATTCAATATTAAACAAATAACTAAACTACTTGTAGCAATGTTCAGATAACCTATTCAAATTCAATGGACCGAATCTTGGTTCAAGCAGGACTGGATTGGATTGGTCCAATTCAATGACTTATTGGACTGTCCAACCCGCTCAAATTGGTTTTAATTGAGATTGTGTCCAACCCAAACCTGATCCACTGGCACCCCTATTCTTATCTTCTATCAATGGACTGGATATTACATCTCGTTTTGTTAATCTGCGAGCATCCTCTATTACCCTTGGCTTTTGCTCCACCCGCATTAGGACCTATAGTAACATTGGATCAGGTTGTATGCTATCATGATATAAGTACATTTTTCTGGCTAGTTTTAGTGTAGAACAAGGAAACAATAACATATTTTTGGTATGCAAATGGGATACAGAATGGGGGTAGCACTCTGCCAACTGAAACCTCCTAATCCCTGGTGGAGGCAGGATTTAATCTTATGTCTCTGCTAGAACTAGCCAGGACAAGGAAAAATAACATAAAAGAATATCAAAAAGTTGGTAGACAAGGAAACATGTATTAAACACTTGGAACTACATTTTTTCTTAAAAGTATTTTAGGCAGATATCTCAGAGCAAATCCATCATCATGGGAGGTTTTCATCTTTCAAGAAGCCAGGAAATCATGAGGAAATTTCAAAAGAAACAAAAGAAGGGAGAAATTTGCTAGCTTTGTTGTTCAATCTCAACAAACAAGAGGTGGGCATTAAAAAGATAAAACTAAGTGGGTCTACGGCAATTGGTGCTCAACAACAATTAATCTCGTTATGCCCTCCGGTATTTTTGTGTTGATGAATCGCACAGTGCGTGTCCCTTCCCTTGGCCTCACCCATGGTGGTCTATAGATCTTGTGATTCTTATCCTTTTGTTAGATCTCATACCCTTGGCATCTTGTGGATCTCGCAACCATTCGTCTTCGTTGTTTTGTGACTGTTGGTGCTGCATGAACTTGTGTTATTTAGAATTCTTAAATCATTGAAAGATGGGCCATCACTTTTGCCTTATTTATTTGTGTTCTTGTTCATTTTGAATATTGAGAGTGACATGTATTAGCTATCTATAATTAGTGTAAACAAGTGAATATTAAAGTCATACCCTGTAACAAAGGAGAATTCATTTTCTTGTTACATTCATCATTTGGTAGAGATCAAAGTCGTAATTTCACCATTGAAGGGGATAGTAGAAGTTTATCTGGACTTTTCCCTTCAAGTTTCAGATGGATTTTTTTTCATGTTAAAAATTGTATGCGCTTTGTTTTTTTTTATTCTTGTTTTATTCATCTTTCTTCTCTATCTCATCAAGTTCACCTTTTGACTTTGAAACCACACTCCTTTTTCTTAGCAAGATGTGATGATAAATACATATTGTTAGATGTGAAAGTACATTTTGTGAAACGTGAACTAATGAAAATTAAGAAATTTTTTAACATGATTTTTTGAAGTTTGGATTTAATTTGTAGCCAATGTTAGTGAATGCACCATAGTTGAACTATATTCAAGCAAACTGAAGGGTGAACAATGGTGCTATCTTTGAAAGTGATTGCAACTCTATCCTCTAAAGTTATGTTGTTGATTGTGGCCAGAAAAGTAGGCTCGTATTAGCTGATATCTTGCACCTTTCTCAAGGTCACCAATTTTCTTTTGGCTTTATTGGCAGAGAAGGCAACTTGGCTGCCCATATCACTGCAAAATGGGGTTTTATTTCCTTTTAGGCACTTCTCTTGATCCGCAACCCAATTGGCTTCTTGTGCTAAAAAAGGGTTGTTTGTCTTCTGTTAAAGCCAAAACCCTTTTGTGATGTTTTTGCTTTTTTTTTTATTATTATTGTTTAAATGTTGTGTTGTATGTTTGTTTGGTTGTCTATTTAGTTTCTAATTAATTTTCCTTTCAACAAAAAAAAAAAAAAGAAATCCACTATACATATTTGTAACAAGGGTATAGTTATAATTTAAAATGTATTAGGGTAGTTAATAGGATTGGTACACATGTATATTTATTTGAAGCATGAATCATAGGTTGCTCTTAATATCCATTGAAAGCTAATAGGATTTAGAAATAAAAATATAATCATTAAAGGAGATTCAGAGCTTGTCATTCATTAACTATTTGAAAGGCATTAATGATCCTCCTTGGTCAAGACTCTTATTGAAGAATGCTTTAGTACTTACAAGAACAATTAGTTAAGTATGTTTGCTAATTGCATATCTACAGGGCTATTAAGGTTTTCATAGTTGCCATATGTAACATTGGAAAATATGTGGAGCTGTTTTGGGCTTCCATCTTGCACTGCTTACAA